TACATCACCGACTGGTTCCGGTATTGTTCGCGTTAATAGCGGCCAGATACAACGGGACTCGGCCGATCCACCCTCTCCGACTCTGGTAAATACGCGAGTTCGAATGAGCGATGCTTCGATTATCTCGATCTGGAGAGCGTCAATTCGACGGAAACGAGAAGCAGGAAGCATCCGCTACGCAAGGGGAAACGGCAAAGTAGCTGTTCGAACTCTTCTCTCTTCTCTTTTTTTATCACATTGTGTCTCGCCTCGACCGATCCTCCTGCCATCCTGTGAAAGAGATACGTATAGATGTGTTTGAAAGCGAAGTTCTTTTCTCTCCTTATATATATATATATATATATATACGCGATATACGCGATGAAATGCGCAAAGTCAATGCGCGGTGGATACTCGCGTGGAACGAGATAGAAACGTGTGTTTGCTTTCCCTTCGATAAATTGTTCGATCAGCTACTAATTTCATGCGCGCGTGTATATATAGAGTGGGTGAGAGAGCGGGGGAAATACGCGTAACCACAGTTACGGTACGCTTGTTTATTTATTCATTTCGTTCGGGTTAAGTCTCTCTAAGTGTAAAGTACGCAAGCTATGATTTTCCTTCATCGATAAACCAGTTCGATAGTGCACGCACTCCATTACTTTGTTGTAGATGGCGCGCTGCTTGCCTAAGGAGAAACGCGTTGGTTCTCTCGTGATGGCGAACGTTAACGAGCCGCTATCGCGTGTTAATTTCGAGGCAGCCGTTAAAACCAGACTAGAATTCCAATATCTCGATCGAGCTTGGTTTTTCCACACGAATTACGTTCCGTGAATAAGCAACTCGCCGATCTTCTTTCGCGTTTAATTAGCCGATCGATTCTCTCGACTTTTCAGAAAAAGATCCGTTTTCAGGTTATGAAACGAAGTGTACGAAGTGTATCGCGCTACGCGTTTATTGCGTCTATTGTGCAATTTAGACGTCGCATGACGAAAAGGTAGGTCATTGGGTGGTATGAAGTACGAGTGTTTACCTTGATACGATAACGCGTGTCGCAATGTGTTTGTAACGATAAGAAGTGGTGATCAATTTCTTAATAAGAAACTCTCGTGACACGAAATTGCGAATTTATTTTATTTTCGAGACCCGTTCGAAGAAATCTTTGCTCGATAAAATTTAAAAAAAAAAGAAACCACGAGATCACTCTTTTCTTCAAAAGTTTGCCTAAGAACCAAAAATAACGACGTTTTCGTTCGAACTAACAGCCGTCCCTAATCGTGAAATAACACGGGTGGTAACCAGCGCGCACAATGACGGGAGAAGACGCGAGAAGAGAGACGTTCGGTCGATCCGTACAACTCCGCCCTTCGGCTCACCTGAAAAGATCGTTAATCTTCAAAGAGATGATAGTTATATTGTCCTGTCACGGATACGGAGGATTGTCGTTCGTGGCGAGGAGAAAACGGAAGATAATGCCGTTGGAAAACGGCTCCTTTTTTCGCGTGTCGAGATGTAATTTCAATAAATCATGGATAAGTGGTCGGGCGAGGGGGGGTGCGGGGATGGAAGAGGGAGGGAAGAGATAGTGGCGGGAGGAACAGCTTGCGAATTCGGTATACCGCGAGCACATCGCTGCCTTGGATTAATTTATCGTCGCGCCGTTATTTACACGTACGACCTTCCTATTTTCTCTCTCTCTCTTTCTCTCTCTCTCTCTCTCTCCCTTTTTTCACGGAAAACGAAACGATCAACGAGAAATCTATCTTATTCCATCTTATCCGCGCTCCAGATAAAAATCATCGACAATCTGTCATAAAGTAACCAGACTTATCGTTCTAATAATAAAATTATCGATCTAATCGTCGTTAAAAAAAAAAAAAAAAATTTCCTCGAATTCGATATTAAAAAGAAAAAGAAAGAAACAACAAATTAATCTCGTGCACCCAGCTGCATCCCATACGCGCAAATTCGTTTCTCAAAGCAGCTGCTTTGTCGATCGCAATCGCCCTTTTGCGGTATTTTGCCGGTAATAAAATTTATTTTCAACCACTTTTCAACCTCGCGATAATCAAATTACCGCGCGATGATCGAGTCGACGATCCGTACACGCCTCGACGCAACGTTGAAGAAGAAGAAAATCTGCAATCCTTCGAAACGGCAATATTAA